GTTTGCTCCAGTCAATAGATCATTTTCATAACTATCTTAAAGTATATTATTCAGTCAAATATGTAATCTGAGTGTTTCTTTTGCTGGCATAATACCTTGGAACTCAACTTTATGCCAATTGGTAATCGTCAACAAAATGAACTTAGCAGACTGTTTTAATGACAAAGCTGGAAAACGGCCAACTCAGTTCGATGAGTAATTGATTTCATCTATACGTAAGATACACGGACGACAAGTTTGTAGTTTGTGACGACAATATTGAATTTGGAGATGTCGTACACCGCTTTAGCACACGCCACCCTTCCATAGACTTGACGTTAGAAAGTGAGCAAGACCAGTCAGTCTCTTTTCCCGATGTACGTCTGATGATAAGGAGTAGAGGTTCTTCAAAATGATCCATATTTTGAAAACAAACATTGACTGGCCAGCTGACCGAAATCTATGGCTGGGTTCCTTTAAGCAGAAAGAGAAATTTCATTCACTGTTTATGCTTCTGACTACATCGGATATGTAGTACGAAATCCATTGATGAACAACTCGCATTACTCTCGAAATCTTTGACAAAAACTGTCAATATAAACCGCCTCATATATATGGAAAAAAGTCGTGACAAGAAATTTGGCTATTCTCTTCCAAAGAACAACATCTATATAAGTTTGGAATTTGTAGGTGATTGAACTTCTGATGTATTTAGAACTGCGAATAACATTCAATAGCAAGAACTTGCTTTCTGTATCCGAAAAGATAAGCTTTCTCGTCTGGTCACCTCCATGTGCATCTACCAATATACCTGCTCTTGTGGAGCAAAATACATTGACCGTAAACAGCAATCGTTCTCAACTTGGACACATCTTCCAGTTTGGTTCTACAAGGTCGAGAGGAAGGCTGCTAGGAGTTCTATACTTAGACAGTGTGTTTCATAATATTTGAGTCTCATAAACTGATCATACACTCAGTCGAAAGCTGATATCCACTCGAACAATGAACCACAGTAGTGCAAGCTTCAAACGCCATCGTGCTAACTACTTATCTGCTAAACTCTAATAACCACTAAGTAGACAGTTAAGTGTATAACGAACGATACTGGACTGGAGTCCTGGAGTGCACATCAACTCTTCAATGCAGGTAAATATGGCTGACGACGTTGAAATAGGACAAAACCCGCTTACTAAATTCCATTACATCCAAACTTATAATGCTTGTGACTTGAGGCAATATGTAGTCAACCTGTACAAGATACATGTATGCTAATAAGAGATTGATCAATTACAGTTCTAAACATTCATTCAAGTAAATAACAATACTAAAGGAATTTAATATTTACCAAGTTGTCAATGTATAATCAAAGAAGAAGAAGAGAACGAATAACACATACGAACTCATTGCTCAATAAATTAGATCTAAGTTATTCATGCTAATTTATCTTGCCTCCTTTCTTTCTTTCTCTTATTAAAATAAACATTAATTTACTCTACAAATGACTAAATGAGTAGAGGTGTAGCTTAATTTCAGTAGTTTCTTCATTGTAAAGATAAATAACAGACGTTTTTGTGTGGATATTACAAGAATTTTAGTAGTTGAGATCATGAATTCATTGAAGTTAGGTCAACTTGGAAAACTTGGAAGAACTGGATGGTCATTTCGTCCAACTGCAAGACTCCTCAGCAGTGTGAATTCACGGTTGTCTAGATTCAATAACACATGGTCTCAACCATTAAAAATACTATGATATTTACAAAACCTCTTCAGATATATTCAATATATGTTCACTGGTGACGGTCTCCAACAGGTATTTCATAGTGTTCTAGTGAGAAGCATTGACCATTGACGTTCAGTCGCGTCTGTTGCTAGACAGTGACTTACTGAAGACAATGATGGATGGTGTCCTAATTTCGTGAATTGGTTAAAGTTCGACATTAACACCGTTGAATGCCGTGCAGCTTAGTGAACTAGAGTTCAAGAGTACGCCTGCGTGAGACCGACAGCTCTTGGGTTCAAACCCCGCGATGCGAAGTTGTGGATACGCGCTGCTGAGGAGTCTCGCAATAAGACAAAACAGCCGTCCAGTGCTTCCAGGTTTTCCATAGTGCTCTAACTTCAAATGACTCCACAAAACCTCTCTCTGATCATAGTTTATTTATTCCTAAATTATTCTGACAAAACAGAAATAATATAGCAACCAATACAAGAGAATAAATGTCCCTTAAATTGGGTTGATCAGAAATAAGTTTGAATTATCACCAAGGAGAGAATTCAATCATCAATGTCTATACACGAATTCATTATTCATCGAATTTTGAACTATTTGGCCTGTATCCTAAAACCGTGTTATTCACCAATATATACAAACCTATTGTTCAAATGGTAATCATATGATTACTTATGAGTAAACTTGAATGAAATTTACAAAGTTGCACTGAGAAGTATTCATCAACTTTGGACATCACTGAGGTGTCAAAGAATAACAACTGATGATGTCACATATAAAAGTTGAGATTTTGAATCTATAAAAGTTACCAAGGTGATGTAAACTGAATGTATTCATCACTATTCCAGACTACCTTGAGTTCAGTTCATAGATGTGCATAGCTCAAGTGTCCCACTACACAATGAAGACTATTTCTCAATTGGTCTACAGTTAAATCCAGTCGATGTTATAACAAATATTAAGCTTGAAAAATGTACACACATCCCTTATCTTAATCAAAGATCGATAGTGACTAGCAGTGGAATCCAGATTTTGTAATCTAGCCATGATGGTCACTCCGGCTCGAACCTAGTTCCATCGCTTAAGCGCCATCGCGTTATCCTTAGCTACTGATCCGATATCCACCTGCTTGTGGATTGTGGTGAGTTTAAATTCATTTGATGTTGTTTCCGAAACGTGCGTCTGGAATTCCACTTCTAGCCACTATCCATCTTTGCTTAAAAAGCTTGTGACTTAAGACTATATTGAGGCAATCCGCACAGGATGCATATATGCCAACATAAGACTGATCTAGTGCAGCCCTATATATCAGTGGAAAGATACAAGTAAAACAAAACCAAGTGACCTTTATCCTAATGATGTGTGTGCTACTGATGTCGATAGATATAGGAGTAGTATGTTTCATCAATCGAAAGTGGAATGTCTGGAGGTAGAAGGTTGAGAAAATTTGAAGAGAAAATATTTAAAATAGATAGCAATTGTTATGGTAATGAAGCAATAATCAGCTCTGAAACAATAATGAATATTTTGTATGTGAAGTATTTACTATATGGTACTCAGATTTTACCAAGATATTCTGTATTTTTGTATTGCAACATATTCAGTTCTCCTCACTTATGTTCTTGTGCACTACATTAACTAAAGTAAAATAATAAAATTTCAATTTTAGCGAGCATGAAACATCCCGAATTCCGCCCAAAACTCGTCTTGTGTTGCTGCCGATCGTAAGTTCTGGTAAAGAAGGAGGGTTGGACATGAGGGTCAGCGACGATGTCGCGTAGAAAATAACTTAGCTAACAAGACACAAACCAGAATATATACATATATGTAGTCATGATGAAAAGCTAACTCTATTCGCTCCGGAAACAACTTGGGCAGATTTATTTATTCTATGGGAGTAAGTAGTAATGAAACATCCAAACTTTTATTTAAAATTATTTTTATTAGCTTTATTCAATGTTATATTCTCGGTACAATATAGAATCCTCAGAGCAAAGTATTTCAACAAGTTTCCCTTTCTTATTTCTTGGTCGATCCTGACGATGTATATTGGGTGGTCACCAATTAGATGTTGTCAGGAATCAACATCTAAATAATCTTCTTTCTTTTGCTGCATATTGCCAGAGACACAATGTCTCTGAATTGGTCTTTCCAACTTGTACAACGAAAAGTCGTGAACTTTTTAAACGCACCTGATACGTTTTGCAATTAAGAAAAAATAGATAACTGTTGAATATCTAGACAGGTAGACCAGGAAACCTAGATCTCAAAAGGCTGTCGACAATAATAATATGTGTGTAGCATAAGCTAAGATTAGCAGAGCAAGCGCCCATTTCTAAACTGAAGAATATATGGAACTCAAAAAAATTGAAAACTTACTCACTAAATTTTGTGATGGCATTAACGAGAAAACCACATAAACTAAAAAACTCCAAAATATAAATGGTCGAATACCATCAGCAACAGCTTACTGTAGGACAGAACAAACCAACTTCCATCCGAAGATTAAATTAAGAAAACATGGTGGAAGTAGATAAACGTGCGCTGACGAAATCAACCAACTGCATCATAAAGCAAGTGATACCTGTAAATCTTGAAGCGAAACGGAAAACAGGAAGGCCAAAGAACACATTACGTCAGGAAATGGAAACAGATATGAAAAGGATGAATAGCTACTGGAATGAACTGGAAAAGATAACCCAGGATAGATTTGGATAGAGAATGCTGATGAACAGCCTATGCTTCTCCACAAGGAGTAAAAAGCGTAAATAAGCTTCTTTCGAGTATATATTTTACTCTGTTTATAGAAAACGCCATATTTATGACCATTTTTATTACCCAATCAACTAATTTCATCAAATTAGCAACTAAAAATTAAAATATAAAAATCAACATTTTAACCAATCAGAAGTTGATAAATTAAGAAATAACATTTAAAACACACCTGGAAACAACAGTTAAATGGATATATTCCCTTTAAACATGTATCTATGCATGTATGTATGGATGTATGTGTGTGTATCTATGTACGTATGTAAGTATGTGATGAATATATAACTTTGTCCTGTTTACTAATATTTGAACTCACTATTCTCATCACATTCATTTAACTCTTATTTATTCATTAAAAATATCCTGATTATTATTACTATGGTATATAAGAATCAATTGTATTCTGTTATAGCTACCAGCATTATCATTATCCGATAATGATTACGTAACTCTTAGTTGATCATAAGGGTTTGGACATTAACATCACCATCTTCTTCTACACCATCATCAATGTTGACAGTCATTTTCATCATTTTTGTTGAATGTTTTCATAATTTCATCAATTCAGTGTTTCTTCAGTGTAACAAAAGAGAAAAGATGAAAAAAGAAAAGAATTAAACATAAATATACTTGTACAACGAACTGCAAAATGTCAGACACAGACACGCACACACAATCAAATACATAATAAACATAATTGAGAAATGTTTCAAAGTGGATTATATATTTTCATTGATAATATACAGGTTTCTATCATTCACATGTTTCAACAAAGAAGATCTTTATCTGGAACGTGTAACCATTGAATTATTGAACAAGTAAGTAATATATATATACATGTATAATGTATACAATGAAATGATGATCATAATAATAATAGGATCATTTTTAACGTAGATTAGTGGATTGGTTCAAGTTAGACATGAATATCGTTAGATATCGGCCGACTTAATGGTCTATAGATTGAGTAGTCGTGTATGAGACCAAGACGTTTTGGGTCCGAATTCCGTGGGAGAATGCGTAGATTTGCACTACTGAGAAGTCTCACAGTAGAACGAAACGGCCGTCAAGTGCTTTCAGGTTTTTCATGGTGGTCAAACCTCAATTGACTCATGAATTCAATACTTAATGTTGGAATCATAATTTGTGCTATTTTACTCTTGTTACTTATTACATGTGAGTAGTAATATTTTGATTAGAAATGTAAGGTTTCAGTGTGTCATAGTTCGAATTACTATTGAATTACTATAGACCAATTAATATATAAATAAATGGTATATTGTCCGTTATGAATATCCAGATGCTCAAATATGCAATAAGATATTCTAAGATCAAAGAAGTTCCATGGATCATGTATAGCGTTTTAAAGAATCAGTTTTCTACCGGATGATGTCGGTAACCCTATGCCCAGACTTCCTTCTTTATCTAGGCTTAAGATCGTCAGTAGCTTGATAGAGGCTCCAATGGCAATTATGGTTCATATTTAGTAAAGATTTTATTTCATGTTTAAAATTGTCTATACACCATAAATAACTGACATTCTTATTGGCAGCATCTGTACACTTGTCACCTATCGTCATTTTTAGGGACTTTAGCACGAATCATTTTGAGCTACGACCTCATAATTGATTGGCATAACAAGACAGTTGTACTAAATTCAATATAATTTATGATATGTTGCTTTCGTCATAATCATTTATATATAGCCAGTGCTTGAAGTCACTAACTGCTCGTCTTAGCCATGATGTTAGATGCAGACTACTTGGTTGGGGTCCGCGTGACTATCACAACAAATGGTTGAAGACTCTTGGTCACATGACTCAGAATCGATCATAATGGTGTAGGTGTATACACTCTTTGTCTTCCCTTAAACTATGAGATTAAGATCGTTTCATATCTTTCTTTCTGCGAACTAATTCTTTCTTCCAGTATCATATCCTTATATACAATCTTTCTCTCATATATTACCACCACTGAATTAACCACTTTTATGAATTTAATATTCATCTTGCTGTGCTAATAAGGTATGGCAACTTGGACCGATGCATATATGTGCCTGGTCCTGCGTTTTAGCTGATTGACTGACTGACTTTCTAAAGTGATCAATTCGTCACCGATGCTTTGAAAAATCGAGACTTGTCTACTAGTTTACCACTGACTAGTAATTTGATGACTTGAGTTTTTGAGATCCTTCAATGAAAATATGTTCCTCTTTCTTGAAACTTCTTTACATCAACCTAATACTGTAATAAATCAACAAATTCTGAATAAAATGATTCATTGATAAGACTATCATTTATGAACAAACCAATCCTAACGATAGCCTAACGGAACTGCTCCTAAGATGCATTCTGGATGTACATGTTGTCTTCAACAATACTTACTATAGACAAATAGACGAGATAGCCATGGGCTCGCCTCTAGGCCCGATTTTAGCTGATCACTTCCTAGCAAAGCTAGAAAATGGACCTCTCAATGACACTATTAAGAAACTTGATTTATATTGCCGATACATTGATGACACCTTCATTATCGTAGATCAAAACATTAATAAAGAGGAACTCCTAGACCAATTCAACAGTGTTCACCCAGCGATCACTTTCACTGATGAAAGCGAGCATGATATGAAGCTGAACTTCCTTGACGTTACACTAAGCAGACGAAGTGACTGCACATTAAGTAGAAGCGTGTTTAGAAGAAACCCCTCTTCATGCCAATATACTCACTTCTGCAGTTTCACACCCATCCGGTACAAGAGAAATTTGGTTAGATGTCTCACTAGCAGAACAAAAAAGATCTGTACAGTAGACACTCTAAGTCAGAAGCTTGAATTTCAACAACTCACTGATCGAGATCGGCTACCCCAGCGCGTTCATTAAGAAGTACATGTATGATACAATAAAGAAGTCGGAGATTTCGACTGTTCGCAAGAAACCTTTATACATGAAAGTGCAATTCAACGGGGATGTGGCTAGTGACACTCTGAAATATAGGTTAATCAAAGTAATCACCAGGACATTCTACGCCGCCAAACTTGCGTTGACTTCTCTTGTCGACCAGCGATGTCTACCCAAACGAAGGATAAGTTACCTGAGTTGGCCTCTTCCATGTGCATTTACAAATTCAGCTGATACTGTGGAGATAGCTATATAGGGCATACTACCAGGCAACTTAGCCAATGAATGAGTGAACATCTATCAACTTGGTACATAAAGGGCCAGATAAAATCTATTCTCAGTTCTATCTTGGCACATCTCATTGATAGCTGTCATGCTGTAGATAAATCGAAATCATTTCGAGTTATCTATCGTATACCTCCATCATTTCCCGACGGAGTCCGTTCCCGTCTTCTACATATAGCTGAAGCCATTGGAATTCGTACATATAACCCCAATTTATGTGTACAGAAGAAATACGTGACCCTTCTATCCCTTCCATGGCATGTTATAACTTAACTATTATTTATTTTATTCTACTTGTGTTATCATTAACCTTATTTCCACATTCATTATTTGTTTGTAATTCTCCGCCTCTTTGTATTCTTCACTATCTAATTATTTACACACATCTTATTACGTAATGATTTTAATGTTTTGTGTTGACTATTCCTAGTCTATTTACCCACGTTTGTTTGACCTTCTATTGCCAACGATTAACTATTGATAAGAGTTTTGTTATTGTAGTTTATTATTCTTACTACTATCAGTTCACCTGTCTTCCTACTATCAACTTGTCCTTTTACCTATTTTATGTGTAGAGACTTATTCTATTTCATTGTGATCATTGACCCATATTGCCTTGATTGGTTTAACATTTTCGTATAAATATTCATGTATATTAGAGTAAAGGCCTGATGACGATCTAATTGAAAACAATATTGTTCGCTTATATGTGTTGTTATAAGATAAAAGGTCTCGGAATTTTGCGCGAAATTCATTCATCCATATGGTTAAATAGAGTTTCACCATTATAGCTTATGTCAGTTTGTAATTAACTCCACCTTTCCTGAATGTAATTCTTGACCTTTACCCACCAACTGTGAATCATAATCTTTATAATCTTCAGTTAACTTTAGTACTTGGGTAGACATTCTCAAGGTCATTTTGGGGTCACTCAAAGGTCATCCATAAATTATAGCTTCATTATTGATAGAATATTACCTATTGCCTACTAATCTATCGAAGAAATAAGTAGTATTGTCATGTAATTTGAAATTTCTTAAAGAAATTCATTATTTGTACCGTTTTATCGTCCCTTTTAATCTAATGGTAAATATTCTATTCAGATTAGATTCACCATTCAAAACCAAAGTGTTTTCCAAATATATACGAATTCCTCTTCCTCTTAGTTAAAATATGTCAGTTCCTTTTGGAGTGTTCCCATTTTTCTGAATCTTACAGACTTAGTTGTACAACTATTCAAAAATTACTTAAGTAATGTGTACTACTGATATAGATAGATATAAGTAGTATTTATCATCAATAGAAAGTGAAATCTCTAGAAGCAGTAGGCAGAAGAGAAGAGAACTAGGACAGAGAATGAATGGTGTAATGATGATGACGATGATGATGATGGTGTCGATTGTTTGAAACAATCCCTTCATTTCCATACTCTTTAAATTTAAATATGAAGACTGTTGTTCTAATGAATCGTTTGTGACTTTAATTCCATATGTTTTGTGTCAAGAAATTGAATGTTTACCCATCCTAGGACAAAACATCTGTCCAAATGCGTCCTGGTTTTCCATGGTTGATGTAGCTCAACCACTAAAAATTCACAATAATATCCACAAAAATCCCTCCCCCTTCTGATATGAAACCTAAAGGTTTAACTAATTATATCAATGGTATGAAACATTTATCGGTTCTCTTTTTGTTTTACGGACTCTCTCCTTCTCCCTCCCTCTCGTGCTCTCTATCTCTATCTTCCCAAGGGAATTCTAATGTATTTGGTTAACCAAATTGATATCATTAGCGAAATCAACGAAAATACGGTGTGTTTTTTGTTTTCTAATTGATTTGTTGGTGAGACGTATAATTTATGGATGATCTATGAGTAACAATGAAGTGAGTTGGAGACTGTCCACCAACTAACTGAAACTAAATGAGGGTTATAAACACGTGTGGGAATTAAAGATTATGATTTACAGTTGATGGTTCAGGGTAAGAATCAAATTTCGGGGCGGGGGCGAAGTGGGTTTTCATCACGAACTGACATGAGCTATCATGTCAAAACCTCTATTTAACCAAATGAATAAATGAATGAATTTCGCGCCATACTGGACCCTATTCATTCATAATCATAATAAGATATTTGTAGATATGTAAGTGAATAGAAAAAGATTAGATGTCTCGTAACTTAGTGTAAGCTACTTCTTCAGAGAATATCTATTATAGAAAAAAAGAGAAAAAAGGAAGAAAAATACACCTAAATCATTGAAAGGTCATTCTAACCCCACCACAACATTGTTTCTCTTATCTCTAAGAGCAACAAAATTGTGAAAATTATCTTCGCATAACGTGTAGATATTAATTTTCTTGTTGATTATGAAAATAAAGAAGAAAAATAATAAAGAAATGTGGTCAATGAAGTTTTTCTTTTTCTTTTTTGTTGTTGTTATTGTTTTGATGAGTAGACAGAGAAATAAAGGGAAATGAGGTCATTTTAAAGAAATAATTTCATAATATCACTGGTTGAAATCATGCGTCAATTAGAGTTAGATCACCATGGAAAACATGGAAGCACTGGACGGCCGTTTCATCCTAGTATGGGACTCCTCACTGGTCATTGATGTCAAGAGGCATTTCCTGAGGTTCTA